AGGCTCTCCATTACGGGGGAGGGGCTCCCACTTGGCACGAGGGCATAGTGGGGGGGGGGGCACAGTAATTAAGACGAGTGCACAGCAGCTGTATGACTCACACAGTAATTAGTCTAATCACATGCAGCATTACTGGGGAGGGCGGGCTGGGTATACGCTTAGTGAAAAGGGGCTAATTACACGCTGATTAAACCCCCCCACAAAAGAGGGGCGAAAATTTAATAATTAAATGAACAAACTAAATAGATGCATTTCATTTGGGTGGTTCGGTGGTTCAATGAGGATCGACCTGATCCCATCCGCGGTGTGATTAGTCAGCCCCCCCCCCCGGCAGAGAATGTGCATTCGCCTTAACGTCGAGAGACTCCAGGTAGGGACCCAGTGGGAAACGAAGGTGCGAGTGTCACAACAAGAGAGCAACCAAAACCAGTAACAAAACCCCAAAAAGTACATTTAAGAGTGATTCATTTCATGCTTCTAGGCGGAATTCTGGGAAGGTTCACACTCAGAGCGTAAAGCTGATGGAAATCAGTCTAATTTCTAAACACAGAAAACTCAGAAGTCCGTAATTCAGCAACCAGAATGAAAAAGTACCATGGGGTGAATTCTGCTAAACCACAGCGTATCGCTGGTATACTATTAAAATCTCCACAAATAGTGACAAAAATACAACATTTGAATTCAATTCATTAGCTGACACTTTCACTGGTACACAAGAAAATATTTTGGTATATTTTGTAGGTTAAGAATCTGAATTTTCCTGGCTGCTACGGAGTTAATGTCCTTAAGTACTTTGGTACCCTGTTGGCTTGTACCCATCGGTGTAGTAGAATGGCATGAGGCGAGCCAAACTAATTATACCACCATTTAAGTGTGGATCAACAATCCAATAGCACGGTACTTTTTCACACCAGTCCTTGCTCTGAATTTATCATCTGCAAGGTGATCTGAATCATTTGAAGAGAAAACCCAGCGTAGAAGGGGGCTCCTTCGGGCACCACACACAGGCTTTACGAACCCGGCTTCTGCGCCTTAATAACCGCACACATAGTGGTGGGGGCGGGGGGCAGCGTGTTAGGCTCCTCCCCATCCAGGAGGAAGGAGACGGCCTTGCCAGCGGCGGACATGGCGCGGCCCGAGAGCGAGTCCATCAGGCGGCCGCTGAGCACGTCGGGCACCAGGAAGCGGATGAGCTCCATGGTCTTCTCGCGATCGGAGACTGCTTCCGAGTCAGCTGGGTCACATCAACCGACAAAGACTGAGCACACAAGCTGCAAGGCGGCAGGCGCCGGAGCGGCCGGTGAGGCTAACAGATCGCAGGCCAGTGACTTCCAGTGATAAACAGGGTCGTCAACTTTGATCAGCTGGCTGTAGTGAGATTTTCAATTCGAGACCAGTCTGCACACACACGCAAATGCATTTACATGTATGTGACAGTTTCTTTACCTTGTAAATAGACTGTAGGGTTTGCAAACTACCCCAACGATTTTGATGTAGCTAATTTTATGTTTATAATGGAATAAAATATGTTTGTCGTAGGATTTCTTCCATGTGAGTCTGAAAGCGTGAGTGTCATGCCAGATGCGTGAGAGGTGGCGACCCTGGATAAACGACATGCCCTTCTTAGGAAGAAATTAGCAATAAAGGTAACAGAATGGAAAAGGAAATGTATGCTACACACACATCCCATTCCTTTTTGCACTACTGCCACCCAGTGGCCATTCTTAGCACTGTGACCTACAACAGTGACTCTCAAACCTAGTGATTTAACACAAAAAAGACCCACAATGGTTAGCAGCCGTTGTGTGAAGATTCCAGACCCTAGGACACCACACAGAACAATGGCAGGCCTATAGCCCCTGAAAAATGTCACAGATGGAAATATTCTCTCTTTCACTAATACGGTTGGACTTGGGTTCACACAAAGATGTTTACGTTTTCAAACACATATTTTGTGTCAGAATGATGTTAAGTTTCCACTGTCGAGGTGTAGAAATATAGGTCAGATGAAGGCCTTCATGATCTTGGAATAACATACCTGGTTTGGACAACGGCATCACTCTTGGAAACTGTCTTCTTGCTGGTCGCAATGGGCTGCAAAGCGAGAGAGACAGGAAAGCTCTGAAACCAATTTCTTACTAGAAAAAGAAAGAACTTTGGACTAGGGAGGAGCTAAGGTTTGATCGAACCTTGAGGGATCTTTACAGAGAGGCGGGAAAGACTGCTTCTGGTAATGACCAAATACTTCAAAAACAATGGGCTGGGTCTTGATGTACTCCACAAAAGATTTAGTCACTTCCACTGCAATCTGAAGGACAGGAAATATCTCATTAGAGTTGAAGAAGACCAGCATCATAAAATCCATTTTTGATACTTCAGATGACAGTACTTACATTCTGGACATGGTAGAACCCCAGTGGTGGCCCACGGCCAGTGTTCTTCAGAGGTTCTGTGGAGAAGGCTTCATCATGCCGGTGGATGAAGCTGAAAGGAGTCGAGAGATCAGATGTTAAGTCAGAATAACCTACTGCACCACTTTCCTTGACTCGCCACATTTGTTCCCACTTATTTTACTGTTACAGCTTGTCACATCTGTCAGATCAAACCAACCTTTAAAAAGAACCCAATCCTGAATACACCGGAGCAGAGTCATTCATCCTGCCAGCTCCGTTAAAATGGCGGCATCGCATACTCACTTGAACTGGCAGAAGATGTCGGCATATTCAGCGGAGATGCTGGACGCTTGCAGGACTGTCACCCTAAATGTGAAGACGCTGCCAATTCTCAGGTGCTCCAGGAAACCATCTGCTGCTCCATCCTGGTTGGCCTTCATCGGACTCTCCAGCTCATCTTGGCTAGCTGGGGGGGGAGATTGGGACTGGTCACCTCAAGGCACCAGCAAACCTTTGATTTTGTTTAAAGGACCCTTTTGTAGCTCTTGACTTTACCAGCACAGGTGTTGTTGTTGACCTCGTCTGCAGAAGGACCTATTTCTGATGTTTGTCCCTGTCCTTCTACAATGCGCAGCTCTTCCTGGGATGTCCCCGAGCGAGACAAGCCCAAGGGACAAGATTCTATCTGGAACTATCCAATAAACAAACCTTGTCAGCTGGAGCACAGTGATCATGGATCTGAATGCAGAACTGACCCATGGCCTCTTCTAGAAATCCACATCCTACCTTCTCAAACTGCTGGTCTTCAAAGGAGATCTTGGCAGTCCCTGACTGCCTCACCCCTGAACCATAGTCGGGGGCCTCCTCATCAGCTGGGCGGGGGACACAGAAGACAAATAAGAACCTTCTACTTCCTTTTAATCTCTAGCCAAAATAAAATGCACAGATGGGCACCAATATTTCGTAAAGAGGTCAGTCTAACTTTGTGTGCCCATGGTGGGAGTTCCAAATCAGACCATCACTAGAAATACTCCAATAAACGATAACATGGACATGAAGGCCATTTCAAGGTCCTCTCACCTGATATGGCCTGTACTGCAACCCTCAGGAAGCCTTTGATGTCTCCCTTCTCGCTCACTACGGCTACCCGGTGTACCAAGGGAACGGGGTACAGCAGGTTGCTGAGATACACAAAGGCCCTGTGGAGAGAGGTAGGGGAAGAGGCGGGGGTTGAGAGCACACAGAGAGGTCACGGACCGGAAGATGTTCAGGCGCACGGCACTGGACGACACAACACCAAAATGCCAAAGCAAACCAAACAGAAGCACCATTTGCCCCAGCGGTAGCCTTTACGGTAGCACACATTGGTGCTCTTTTTAAAAACGAAAACAAAAAGGAAACAAAATTCCATTTTCAAAGGGGGCAGACAAGGGGTGGGGGTGGTGTGGGGAAGCTCGGTGAGGCCAAGGAGCATGGGCACAGAGTAAAACTAACCCCCCCCCCCCCCCCCCGTGAAGAACCATGGTTCACCCCAAGCCTGGACTTCAAAATCCACTCATTAGCCAAAGAGTCTGAAATGCACCTTCCAGCAGCTGAAACCAGCTCATCGAGTGTGAGATCATCGTGCCTCAGAATGCAATTTTAACAAGATCCACTCAGGGGAACAATGTGCAGCAAAATTTCAGGGAACCACTTCAGGATTTAAATGTTTCCTGCCCGGTTCAGGACTCGATAATTCATGATGTCCTGTTTAGATAATGTTAGAAAATCTAACCTAATAATTCTGTAACATTCTGGTCATCACCCCATTTTCCTATTTGCATGAGGTAAACCCATTAGGTCGTTTTTATCAGGCTTTGACGGAGAGTGTAATAATCAATCCCCTACCCCCAAAGCCAGAATCTGTGGTGGAAGTTACAACAAAGCACAGATCTCAAAGTCCACCTGGTCATTAAGTGAATATCGGGACACCACATTTCACATCTATGATACCAGGGTAATTTCAGTTTATGTTGTACATGTTTAATGATTTTCATTAGTTGACTATTAAATTTCAATACTACAAAAATGTTTTACAGGCCAGATGACTCTTGTTTTGATGTCAATTTACAGTTTGGGATCAAGATGAGAACTGATTAAGAACCGAGATGTAAATTCACAGAAACTTACACACATAAACAAAAAGGCACAGACCCACACACTACAAACACAAGAATAAAATACTATACAGAGGTGCCTTCAAACCTTGGCAACAGAAGTCAATCAGAAATTTTGATAAAGTCGCCTAAAAATGGAAGATACCTAGATACTATGGACTGAGACCAAATCACAGCCGACAAATTGTCAGGCGTGACGACTCCTGAGCCCTTATGTCTGGGAGGGAGGATGGATCAGCTGGACTCCCAGAAACTGGTCCCGAAGCGAAGCCCAGAGCTCTAAAGTTTATAAACCCACTCCTCAGCTCACTGCTGGATGCATGGAGAAGCAAGCAAAACTGCGAAAGTCAACGTGACCATGAGAAGCAAGCGGACATTAAACAGGCCAGCGGAGAGAGGGCCGGCTCACATACGAGGCCGACGTGAAGCAGATAAAACACCTCACTGTGCATTTCCACATATTCTTCTGTTTTTTGTTTTTAGCTATTTGGCTCTTTTCTTTGCTTCCCAAGGTCACGGCTTTGGCAGCCCAGTACTACATTTCCCAGGAGCCACTGGGGTAGAAGGGGGAGGGTAAAGGAGTGGCGGAAGAGGGAGGTAGCGGGAAGGAGCTTACGACAAGATTGGTGAGGTGCAAAAACGGCATGCTCAGAAGGAAATGTGAACGCAAAAAACACCTCGCTGTGTAATTTTCGCTTGAACTACGTCAGTTCAGAAATTAAACTGAAAGCAAATGAAAAAATAACTAAACAAACATACAGTACGGAAGCTCAGACTAAGCCAACAGCGGTACCAGCTAAAAACAAATGAAACTGCGAACAAAAGTGGCAACAGAAATGAATATAAGCACACCTGACAGGTCTAGACTCACAGCTGCTGAGTTTTTATGTGCAGGTAGGTGAGAGTGGGAAGCCAATCTAACAAATATATCCATGTGGAATTTGAAAAAATGAAATTAAACGAAATTAAAATGAGTCTGTGCTCCAGCATGCCTTTGAGAGACAGCTGCGGCAGAAACCAGCTCTTTCATCTTGAGACCCCGAATCTCCCCAAAAACTGCCAGTGCACAGAGCGACTGGTTTACCGTGGTCGTTCAGTGAGAGTCATTGGGATAAGAATGCTAGGGCCTTCAGTCTTCTGTATTGTGAAGCGGACATTTTAAGAGGACAGCTATTCAATGATGATGCAATGAACAAACACCATTTATAATGGCATTCTTTACCACATGAATAGCAAATATTTTCACCGGTGCTAAAAATGTGGTCACATAGATTCAAACAAAAACACGAGGAGCGGCTTTGACAAGAATGTCTACTGTGACGCACTAGAAATTAAATTTACACGATGAATAACTTGGTTCCAGGAAATAAAATGTTACAAAACATGGACAGTCCTGGTTATCACCTTAAGACTTTTTTCTGCAGAGATGTCATTTTTTGCAACCAGACTTTTTCTTCTGTCCAGGTCTTGTTCACTATGGTATTTTAAAGTAAAAAAACAGACTAGTGGCTTAACTGTGGTGACCTGTGAAATGATGAGGCGACACAAAACTAGTCTTGTCCCCAAGGGTCAATATTTTTCATGGTATGAGTGATGCCAAACTAATCATGATTTGCTTTTTACTTGTGGAGATTATTGCTGTCAGGCTTTTTTTTTCCAGAACCCAGAGAGCTGGCTGAGTGAGATAACATTAATTCTCAAACAGGAAGTGACCTTAAGCCGAATGCCAGAAAAGACACGTAGCTTAAGGTCGGTCGAGGAACCGAACAGAGTCCTGCTAGTTTGTCGTTATCACTTAGCGTCACATCAGCAATTTAATTTGGATCAGACGTGTGTCAGATTTAAATACTGCTGCGAGACGCATGTTTACTCATCTCGCTGTGACTGGCACTCTCGCAGACTCTCTGGTTCATTAAAGTGGCACGGGAAATGGGTGGCTGGAAAAGTTAGCAACTCAGAGCACTTGGACAGTGGGAGGGAGCCAGGGAGAGGCATGAACGAGATGTGAGAGCGCCTTAAGAGGCTTCGGGTAAAAAGCAGTGAAACTGAGGTCATTTATATGTGAATTTTTGCTGTATTCTACACTTGATAGCTGCTAATGACTTTGATCATCATCTCTTGATGAAGCCGTTAAAATAATGAGCAACTCAGAGTACAGCTACATGATGTCATCCTCTTAGCTACATGATGTCATCCTCTTACGCTATGAGACCTCATACATGATGCTCCTGGGTCAACACCAAGATGGGTTTCCAACGTGGCTGCCCACCTCCAGGCACGGTTGACGTTCTGGGTACAGTGTTTCGTGGCTATGTCTGGACGACGGTGTGCACCAGGCGGCCACGAAGGGGCCGTGTCTCAGCGTGAAAGAGCTAGTTTCCTCTGCCAGCATGCTCCTGAGACCTCACCAACCTTCCCACTACACTGAACAGAGGTGAGCGGTCGTAAAAGGGGTCCTGGCCTTCGCTGGAACCCCGGCAGTGCTCGCTCTCATCTGCCCCCAGCTCCGAGCACGGGTCGTCCAAAAAGATCTCATCGTCCAGGTCCTCCAACTGCTCCTCCTCCCCCTCCTCCTCCTCCTCCTCCTCCTCATCCGCCTTCCCATCATGCCGCTCGTCGGCGAGCTCGGTAATGTCAGAGTCGGGGTCGGAGAAGGTGGGGGAGGGGGTGAGATCGGTCATGCGCTCGCTCATGCACGTGTTGAAAATGGGGGTGCTAGTGCAGCCAGAAAGATGGGAACTGGGTTAGTACAACGAGATAAACAAACAGGTTATTCCTACGGGCCGGCAGCGCCGCGCCACAGCACCAACCCGGGCAGCGCCAATCACTCTGCGCTGCTTCAGTGGACTCGAACCCTGGCCCCTGACCCTCGGGCCCCAACCCCATACATTTTTACATCCTAAATGTAATTACCCATTTCTGGAGGCCGAGTGAAAAACAGAGCAGCCCGTTGTGTTGTCATTAAAACATAATTTGGGATCGGATGTGTTCCGGTTACCCTGTGATTGAACCAAAGCTACGTCAACATCCGAATGCTTTCAGCCGTTCGTCACTCATGGCTGTGGAGAAGATGCTAATGGCCAGTGCTGAGCAGACAATGCCTCTGGTGCTCCTGAAATGGGTGATTATGGGCAGAGCATAAAACCTTGGGTGGGGCAGTAATTTGTTTGCTGTTGGTGTTTCACTATCCCATTTTTCTAACAGGTTAATGCTGTGGGCAGCTGTCAGTGAGGTAGCAAGAGATTAAAGGTACAGAGAACGCGCAAATCACAGAGCAGGAAACAGGGATTCGGCTTCCACCACTGGTCGACCCTGTTTACTCCTCTCTGTTTGCATAAGCTTTTTAGAATAAGGCTTAGATTCAGATTTGGAAAGGAATTACGATGAGGAGCAGTTTGTAATCTCCAGGTTTTAATAGCTGAGTTTGATTTGCTTATAGTACTGAATGCAAAATGGCACCCCTGTGTATACATAAAGTCATTTATTATTAATACGTGCATCCTATGTTTTATATAATCTCATTTGCTGAATGTTTACTAATTTAATTACCTTGCTTCACAAAAGTACCATTCTGTTGGTTTTAAAGGTTTGAAATGAATCCCTGAAGAGGTACGAGAGATAAAACCAGCTGAACGTCAGAGTGTCCCTGAGACTCAGGCAACAAAAATGCTGCTGCTTCAGGAACCATGGATTCAATCTTAACAGCACTACTGTATAGAATAGGCAGTGCAGGACGAGCCAATAGGGGACATAGGCAGCCGCCTAGGACGCCATCTTCTCAGGGGGCGTCGACTTAGCAAGCCAATGTCCCTTAGTGTTGGACGGAGGGCACCGGCCGTGAAACACGCCTAAGGCGCCATCTTCTCAGGGAGCGTCGACTTAGCAAGCCAATGTCCCTTAGTGTTGGACGGAGGGCACCGGCCGTGAAACACGCCTAGGGCGCCATCTTCTCAGGGGGCGTCGACTTAGCAAGCCAATGTCCCTTAGTGTTGGACGGAGGGCGCCGGCCGTGAAACACGCCTAGGGCGCCATCTTCTCAGGGGGCGTCGACTTAGCAAGCCAATGTCCCTTAGTGTTGGATGGAGGGCGCCGGCCGTGAAACACGCCTAGGGCGCCATAAGGGTTTCGAACTTTACTGATAACAAGAGTCTGTGACTTATGAAGATTTATTATTATAGAATGGTTACACAATTTGGAGACGATGTCATCTATTCGTAGCTTTTGATCTTCGCTATGACACTATTTGCTTTAATGACCTCGCTAGTCAGATAGCCTAGCCTAACTACACTGTGCAAAAAAATATACAAACAACATTAATGTACCCCCAATGGTACAAAAATGTTCCTCCAAATCCATTTCTGTACCTTAAAAGGGACATTTAACTACAGCTAAGGTACAATTGGCAGACCAGTGAGGGTACATCTCCAGTGACAAGAAATTGCACCCTCAAAGGTACTAATTGGTCCTTTATTTCTGACAGTGTAATTAGTAAATCTGGTGATCAGCTCCTCTTTTCTGGCATGTGTTACTGACCACTGACCTGCCCACCAGACGGAACCAGGGGAACCGGTCATAGAACGGGTCTCCGCCTGTCAGCACGTTGTCACAGTCCTCGATGGCGCTGCTGGGAACCTCGGCAGCTCTGTCGTACATCTCCCGCATCAGTTCCAACCTCTGCCTGCAGGGGGCGTTGTAAATCAGTCGTTAGTATCACAGAATTTCAATAAGCTAGAATATAGAATTATGCTTTAAAATGTATTAAAACATTATTTATTAGTTAGCTAAAGCTGGAAAGAATGACTTACGATCAGTGTCATCATTGTTTTAGATCAGTGTTACCAAACCCGATCCTTGGGGACCCACAGACGGTCCATGTTCTTGCTCCCCCCCCCCGACTTGGTAACACTGATTTAGATTATATCACAGTGAAGCCCAGACTGCTCTCCTTGGGGTACCTGAGCTTCTCCAAGGTCCAGTAATGAGTGGCGCCGTTCTTCTGGTCCTGCACCTCCACCGCCACGATGGTGCGAGGAAAGGGACGCTTCTCTCTGTCTTTAGCCGCGTCGGGGGGCAGGAGGTCAGGAGGGAGCGGCGAGTACAGCGTGTCTGTGAGCAGGACAAACTGGAACTGGACCTGTAAGGCACACAAACACAGCATGGAAAGCATGGAAGCATCATACCGTCACTCTTTATTAAGCACTAAGGAGCAAGGCGCTATATCGACGTGAACTGAAGAGGCTCCAGGTGGACTCACCTTCTTCTTCAGCTCCACGCTGATGGCGTTGGCCTCCTTCAGGAAGATGGCGTTCCCCCACAGCAGATCCCTCAGGGATGTGAACTGGTAGCACTTCCATTTGCGGAAGGCCCAGAGCGCCAGCTCCGTCTCCCTCTCGGTCCATTGCACTGTAGGAGAAGTCGAGGTGAGTCCGATCACACTCATCTGCCACATCATTTCTCACACTGGATCATCAACATATCAGCCAAAAATAACACAACAACTAACTATTTGCTACCACGAGAAAAAAAACACTCTCCCTTATATCACGTCAACCTTCTGTCCAAATATAACTGCTGCTTAGTGTCCACAGTGTACGGCCTTCCAGGATTTTTCACCTTCCTCTTCCGGTTCCTCCTCTTCCTCTGTGGTTTCTGGGTAATAGCGCGAGTCCACTTGCTTCTGTAGGGCTTCTAGCTTACTCTCGTAATCCTTAGAAACAAAAACACATCATCGTTTCATTCCCATAGCATTTTTTAAATGTAAAATAGATGTCTTTGGCAAAGGTACTACAGTGTTACGTGGCAGATCCTACCAGTCTTTGCTGCTCTAACAGATTATTGGCTTCTTCCCTTTCCCTCCGATATTGGTCTTCGAGCTCTTGTAGCCTGTAGAAATATAAATAATGGCCGTCATATAAAGGATGCTTTTAATCATTGTGAAATGGAGACCTCACACCTAATTTACACAAAAATAGCATCCTATAGCATCCAGTTTAAAAACCGTACCTTAGTCAATAATCAACAAGTAAAAATGCCTAGAAAAGTTGTCCACAGACACATTGTGGGTCCTACCTTTGCTCCATCTCCTGCTTCATGTCGATGCCCTGCTTCTCCAGCAGTTCTCTCTGAGCGAAGGCCCAGTCGACCGGCTCCATCGGCGTCTCCGCGCACGGCGTGCGCTCCCGCTCCTGCCTCGCCTGCTCCGGGTGGTTGAAGCGGAACACATGGCTCTTCCCCATGATGATGCGATTTCCTGACAGGGGTGCGAGGTTTGGCGTCAAACACACGGCCCAGCGTTTCCCGCTCTCCCGGTGAGGTATGATCACGGGCACCTCGTTCACACGGAGGCCCCAGCACACAGCGATGAGACAAACCCACCTGATCGGAGCACAGTGGGCTCGCTCACCCTCTTCCCGTTGACGTATGTCTCTGCCCCATCGCAAGGCTCCAGAATGACTATTGCTGTGGAGGTAAACATTAAAAAGAGGCTGTGTACACTAGAACTACAACACCAGGTAGCTAATTCATAGACAGCTGTTAAACCTATGCTATGCTGTATTTGGACCTGGCTAGACATGATCTGCTAAGTCAAACTCTGACTGAGTTCTGCATGGACCTATTCAGGGTTACCAACTTTGGTCAGATTTTCAATTTGAGACAAGTCTGCACACCACACACACATTTACATGAATGCAACAGTATCAGTTTCATTACTTTTTAAATAGTCTGTAGGGTTTGCAAACTCCCTCAATGCTTTTGACGTAGCTACATTTAGGTTTATAGTGGAATAAGGTAGTGTCACCCCAGATGCGTGAGAGTTGGCCACCCTGTCGACTGGAGTTCATTAATTCATGAAGTCCATCCCATCCATGTAGGAGCTGTTAAATTCTGTGTGCTTCTAGTGACCCTTGACCTGCGATGGAGGCTCACCTTCTCCAGCAGGGCTGATGCTGCTGGTGAAGGTGCAATGCTCATCTTTAATGAAGTGTCCACTTAAGACAATGTCCTGGCGACTGCTGGCATCCTCCCGTCCCACCCTGGACAGAGACAAAGCGCAATTTCACAAAAATTGCCTAAAAACTGCATTGGCTAAAACCTTAGCCTGCTGTCATTGGTCTGTCCACCCTAAAACATAGAAGCTGCAGTAGAGATGTTTTAACTCTTAATCCTCACCTGGTGATCCCATCTTTGATATAGTAGAGCAGACATTCTGACATCAGGGGGTCCTCGTTAAGGTTCACCAGGTGAGGCGTCTGGGACAGAGTGTGGACAACTAGTTTAGGTGACACAATATTGATAACTCACATTGGCTAAAAAGCTATTTCACGCACTATGAGACACTCCATTTTAATCCTCAGAAAATGCAGTATGAAAGGGAAAACGTAGTGATGTAATTAAGAGGCTAACCAATCAATCGCAAGAGGAAGAATTTGTTGAAACACAGAGGGCAAACATTGTCGGCTATTCATATGATTGTATGAGGTATAAAACAAACAGAACGGGGGTCTTCCGAAAGCCTTAAGTCTTTGATGAATCCGTTTAATGTGTTTGTTCTTCCCTCTGCTGTGTGTTCTAAAGGCATACACTTCACATGTTTGTCAAACTCCTTTCTTTATATAACCCTAAATCCATCCACATTACATGCTCTCCCAGTCCGTTAATGACTCAAAATGGAGCAAAGGAGCAAGAATGAAGATATTTTAGAGATACCGATGTGCTTCAATGTCTTAAATACAGTACGGAGAGCGTGGAATATATTCGTAAAGAGAAACAGATCTTGAAACTCACGGCAAATCTGAGAGACATGCGTAGGGCATTGTAGTGAGATGAGAACCTCACTACAATGATAGTGAAGAATGGCACGCCACTGCCCACGAGGGCACACCCCAGTGTGACACACCTCGTTGGGGGAAAAGAGCCCGACCGTGTCAATGAAGACAGGCTGGGGTTTGCGTGCCGGCGGCGGCGGCGACTTCAAAACAAAGCAACGTGATCAGCGCTTCTGCAGCCGCGGCGGAACGTCCTCATCATGGTTGCAAGCACATCACATCACATCCGCGAGCGTGACTTTTCCACTGCTCAGATACCTTATGTGTGACTATAAGGCCCCCTTCTCGGGGGGGGGACGAGTGGCATCTCATACCTTTTTAGGTGAAAAGACTCCCAGGGTTCCTCCATCTTCTCTCATGGCCACGCCCATCTCAGCCAGCAGTGCCTCCCTGCAGCAAAACAGGTGCACTGTAGTAACCATGGAGCTCCTGCGGGGGTCTTTAGCTAATCCCCGAGGGGACGTTAGTGACCCCTGCTGGCCGCAGTAGCCTCACCTCTCCATCCTGATGGCTTCGGTACGACGTAGCTTCTCCTCCCAGGTTTCATTGAGCTCTGCAATGATTTTTTCGGTTTCCTGTTGAAGAAATATAGGTCAGGCCATTATAGAAAACCAAGAATCTAAGAGGAGAAATAGAGTAGCTGTGTATTTTATGGGGTCTTGTTTTTTTATATACAATCAAAAAGAGAAACGTGATGTTTATTTCGCCTCTATAAACGGTTGCAGGACGTGAGAAGAACAATATGATATGTATACATATGTATGATATGTAGCCCAAAATCAAACACTTGGGTCTTCAGAGGCATCAAAGATGCCAAACCACATCTTTCAGTTGTTAAATGAAAGTTTATCTGCATATTCTCGAGATGGATCCATTTAAAAGCAGCAGACAGCAGAATTGAGGTTCTTCATCAATAACTGCATAATTCCATATTAAACGTGAAATTCTAATTGTAGGGTGCTAATGACCAGCCAAATAGAGAGATGGTCATTCAGGATGCTTTTTGGAAGAGGATGAGTGTGAGTTTGAGGACTCAGGCCTCCAGCACCCACCTTGAGACGCTCGATAGCTTCCTCACTGCCCGGGGCGAACATGATGCGTTCGTGCAGGTTGCCGATGGATCCGGCTCGGCTGGACAGGGCGGAGAGTGAGGGGGAGGGGCTCATCCCCGTCATGGCATTGGTCACTGTGGAGAGATCACCCCTTTGATTGACAGCCCGGAGACTATTGTTTTGGTTCTTGTAACCGATCAAGTCTGTCAGAGGGACCATGGGGTGG